GAATTGTTAAATACTTTCAATTATTTTAGAACATTTTATGTAAATCTTGCATATTAAAAAATAATTACGGTTTAATTTTTTATTAAAATAATAATTGATACTTTTTAATATATGATTATAATTTTATTCATCATCGTTTATAACACTTTTATAATAGGTTAAAAGTTAAATTTAGTCCCTCAACTTTACAAAATGAATATTTTTGATCCCTCAACAATTTTTTGCACTTTTTTTATCCCTTAACTTTAAAAATTGCACAGTTTTGGTCCTTCCGTCAATTAAGTGTGATGTGGCAGTTAAATAATTTCAAGTGGCATTATCTTTTAATTTTTTTGATGACGTGGCAATAATATATATTATAATTATATTATATAAATAAATAAAAATACCCACATATATTAATATTTATATTTTAATTAAAAACAAATACAATTACCTTATTACCTCACCCTCCCAAACCCTCTTCTTCCCCTTCCTTCTTTCTTTCTCTTTCTTTCTTTCCTACCCTGGGTCGATGCAAAGATGAACCCAGCAAACGAAACCCAGCCTTCCTCACCCTCCCAATCCCTCTTCTTCCCCTTCTTTCTTTCTCTTTCTTTCTTTCCCACCCTAGGTCGGTGGAAAGCTGGGTTCATCAGAACCCAGCAGATGAAACCCAGCTGCTGGGTTTCAACTTTGCTGGGTTCGGCCAATTCCATGCGTCTAGCCAAAAAATCCTTCTTCCAATTTTTCGATCTTCCCATTCATTACCCGTGAGCCCTTCATCTCCTAATTCTTTCCATTCTACCCACGAAGAATCTATAATCACTTGCAAATCTAGATCAACTAATTGTTCTCGGATTGTCGATTAACAATTTGATTGCATTTTCCTTGAAATTTGATTAGAGTTTGATTGTATTTTTGTTGAAATTTGATTAGAGTTTGATTGTATTTTTATTGAAATTTGATTAGAGTTTGATTGATATTGTTTATTGAAAGGTTAATTTGATTTGATAACATCTGCTAGGTTTGAGGCTCCAATGAAACCCAGTAGCTGGGTTCAATGACAGAGAATTCCAAATTCTCTAGTTTATAGACATATTATTTTGTAAGGACTCACCCCACTAGCAGTAGAGGTAACCCAACTCGAGTTAGATTGATTTTGCAGAGAGTGAAGGTGAGAGACCATTCTAGGGTTCACAGATCTTATTGGTGGTTTGCAAGCAACGTGAAAGCCATTGAAGGGTCTTTGGTGCAGGAAGAAGAGGAAAAAGATGACATGTCATAAAAAAAATCCATATCATCACTTTTTAAAGTTGTCCTTGCCATGTCATCAAAAAAAGAATAAAAAATGCCACGTGGCCGAGTTAACGGCTCAATTTAACAGAAGGACAAACGTTGTGCATTTCTTAAAGTTGAGGGATCAAAAAAGTGTAAAAAATTGTTGAGGGACCAAAAATGTGCAACTCACTAAAGTTGAGGGATCAAATTTAGCATTTAACCATAATAATACTTTCATTTATTATTTATTTTTATCATTTTTAATTTTTTCACCTCATGCAGTTTCCTTTTCTT